CAACCATGCTCACCCCTTCAGAGCTGCATGTGCCAGCAGTAATGCTGGCATGATCGCAAATGCCGTCGTCGATATCTGGAGGGCTGAAGGAGTCTTTCCAGTGCCGAAGTATGAAGATGATTTGAAAGCCTTCCGGTTTCCTTCACCTTTGGGCCCTTTCGTTGACGGCGAATTCACAAGTAGACGTAGGTGTCCCTATAGTACCATAAAAGTACAACATGGACAATTGTCCTATGGGTCATAGGACTACCCAAATGGGCCCAATGAGCAACTAGACTATGGTGCTGTAGATTGGCCCAAAGGTGTAAAAACACCTAATGTTTGTCATTGGGCCAAATGACCCCAGATGTCTTAGGCAAAAATGGATGGTGAAATTAGGAGAGGGAGTTCCGAAATACATTATCCCAGGGCATATGTCCCACGAACATGCGAAATGTCTGGGGGATTAGTTTCAAGATACAGAGGACATCCAAAAAGCACTCGCATAAATTTTTTGGGGAAATGCAAAATGTCCGGACCAATAACCTGATTATCTACAGAACACCAGAAGAACAACCCTGGTGGTGGTATAAGTGTCCCGAAAAAAATGCGAAATGTCCGGAGCATTAGTTTCAATATACAGAGGACATCCAAAAAGCCCTCGCATAAATGTTTTGGGGAAATGCAAAATGTCCGGACCAATAACTTGATTATCTACAGAACATCAGAAGAACAACCCTGGGACTGGTATAAATGTCCCGAAACATGCGAAATGTCTGGACCAATAGTTTTATACAACAGAACATCCACAAAGCCCTCGCATAAATGTTTTGGGGAAATGCAAAATGTCCGGACCAATAACTTGATTATCTACAGAACATCAGAAGAACAACCCTGGGACTGGTATAAATGTCCCGAAAAAATGCGAAATGTCCAGACCAATAACTTTTATACAACAGAACATCCACAAAACAACCCACATAATGGTATGTGTCCTGAAAAAAATGGAAATGTCCGGAGCATTAGTTTTAATATACAAAGGACATCCAAAAAGCACCTGCATAAATGTTTTGGGAAAATGGGAAATGTCCGGACCAATAACTTGATTATCTACAGAACACCAGATAAACAACCCTGGTAGTGGTATAAGTGTCCCGAAAAAAAATGCGAAATGTCCGGAGCATTGGTTTTAATATACAGAGGACATCCAAAAATCACTCGCATAAATGTTTTGGGGAAATGCGAAATGACCGGACCAATAACTTGATTATCTACGGGACATCAGAAGAACAACCCTGGGACTGGTATAAATGTCCCGGAAAAATGCGAAATGTCCGGAGCATTAGTTTCAATATACAAAGGACATCAAAAAAGCATTTCGCTTAAATGTTTTGGGAAAATGCGAAATGTCCGGACCAATAACTTGATTATCTATGGAACATTAGAAGAACAACCATGTAGTGGTATGAATGTCCTGGAAAAATGCGAAATGTCCAGAGAATCAGTTTCAATATACAGATGACATCTGAAAACAACCCTGGATGGCCACATGAATGTTCTGGAAAAATCTGAGATGTCCAGTGCAATGGGACATCAGAAAAACAACCATGGTAGCCATGTAAATGTCCGAAGAAAATGCAAAATGTCCAAAGCATCGATTCAAATACCCACAGGACATCCAAATAACACCCCCGGATGTCCCGGAAAAATGCGAAATGTCTGGGGCATGACTTTTCTTACCCACAAGATGTCAAAAAAGCAACACTGGTGTCCATATACATGTCCCAGAAATGTGAAATCTATGGAGCACTGGTTTTAACATCCCCAGGACATTAGAAAAGCAACCCTGGTATCGATATAAATCTCCTGGGAGAATGCAAAATCTCCTGGGCAATAGTTTAAATACACTGGACCTCAAAAACAACTCTGGATGTCCCGAAAAAAATGCAAAATGTCCTCAAAGCACCCCTGGTGTCCATATAAGACTCTGGTTTCAAGTTAAATCTCCTGAGACAATGTGAAGGTCTTGAAATGAAGGGTATGATGTTCTAGGACAGAAAACCTTCCTGTGTCAAGAAACATAAAGTTCCTATGAGCTTTTCCTAGGATGTGCATATGAGCTATTCCCCTAATTTCTAGTACCCAAAAGCAATGTATAAAATCACTCAGATAACCAAGATATCAAGCATGGAGGTCCTTATGCACTTTGCAGAAAATGCTGATGTTCTCTCACTTTGCGGAACTTGGTGATGTTCACTTGTAGATGAGGTCGTTCAGTGGCATTCAGTTTATACAATGGAACTTCAGACAATTGTGGACATCCAGAATGCTTTGCGGATGTCCCAATTAGTGTTCCATGCATTCCGCATTTTTTTGGAACATTTACGTGGACATCCAGGGTGCCATTCGGATGTCCTGAATCAATGTTCATGTGCTTTTTGCATGTCTTGTGTATATTCCAATTAACAGATATATTCCAATTAATGTTCCGGGACATCCAAGGTGCTTTTTGGATGTCCTGTGTATATTCCAATTAATGTTCCGGGCATTTCGCATTTTTTTCGGGACATTTATCCGGACATCCAGGATGTTTTTCAGATGTCCCATGTGTATTCTAATTAATGTTCCGGGAATTTTGCATTTTTCCAGAACATTTATATGGTCATCCAGGGTGCTTTTCAGATGTCCTGAATCAATGACCATGTGCTTTCTGGATGTCCCGCATATCTTCCAATTAACATTCCGGGCATTTCGCATTTTTTTCGGAACATTTATGCGGACATCCAGGATGTTTTTTGGATGTCCCATGTGCATTCAAATTAATGTTCCGGGCATTTCGCAGTTTTCCGGAACATATATATGGACATCCAGGGTGTTTTTCAGATGTCCTGAATGAATGTATGTGTGCTTTCTGGATGTCCTGCATATATTCCAATAAACATTCCGGGCATTTCGCATTTTTTTCGGGACATTTATGCGGACATCCAGGATGTTTCTCAGATGTCCCATTTGGCATTTCGCATTTTTCCGGAACATTTATGTGGACATTCAGGGTGCCTTTCAGATGTCCTGAATGAATGTTCGTGCGCTTTGTGGATGTCCCGCATATATTCCAATTAATGTTCCGGGCATTTCGCATTTTTTTCGGAACATTTATGCGGACATCCAGGATGTTTTTCGGATGTCCCATGTGTATTCTAATTAATGTTCCGGGCATTTCGCAATCTTCCGGAACATTTATGTGGACATTCAGGATGCTTTTCGGATGTCCTGAATCAATGTTTGTGCACTTCCTGGATGTCCTGCATATATTCCAATTAATGTTCCGGGCATTTCGCATTTTTTTCGGAGCATTTATGCGGACATCCAGGTTGTTTTTCGGATGTCCTGTGTATTCTAATTAATGTTCCGCGCATTTCGCAATTTTCCGGAACATTTATGTGGACATTCAGGGTGCTTTTCGGATGTCCTGAATTAATGTTCATGCGATTTCTGGATGTCCTGCATATATTCCAATTAATGTTCCGGGCATTTCGCATGTTTTTCGGAACATTTATGCGGACATCCAGGATGTTTTTTGGATATCCCATGTGTATTCTAATTAATATTCCAGGCATTTCGCAATTTTCCGGAACATTTATGTGGACATCCAGGATGTGTTTTGGATGTCCCCAATTAATGTTCCGGGCATTTCGCATTTTTTTCGGAACATTTATGCAGACATCCAGAGTCCTTTTTGGATGTTCTGTGTATATTCCAATTAATGTTCCAGCCATTTCGCATTTTTCCAGAACATTTATGTGGACATCCAGGATGCTTTTCAGATGTCCCCAATTAATGTCATGCAGGGTTGTGTTTGGATGCCCTTTTCATAGTTAAATCATTCCGGGGTTGTTTTTTGGATGTCCTGTGGATGTTTGAATTGATAAACAATATCCTTGTGTTCCACCAAACCCCACAATTCCCGCTCAACCCGAAAGTTCCACTCAACCCGAAAGTTCCGACCCACCGCAAGTTCCGCTAAAATACTGGGAGTCCAGTGCCAAAAAACCGGGTAAAATTCTTCAGCTTCTCAACACTTTGGGCCCATCATACAGCCATTGGGACTCTCGATATTGGGCCCAACAACTATCCTTAGGCTAAGTTAACCCACTCAAATGACCATAATTGGGCCAAATGCCTATTTGGCAGGATTTGGTTTGGCCTGACATTTGGGCCCAACATTCACCCTTAGGTGTCTTTAAGGAACTGGGCCCACCCATGGCCCCATAGTGACGTCCAGAGTGTTGGGCCCATTTGGGTAGCCCTATGACCCATAGGACAATTGTCCATGTTGTACTTTTATGGTTCCATAGCGCAGCTACTGAATGCCCTGGCGAATTTTGTTATGACTACGATCGCGATGAGATGCTTCGCTGCATTTCTTCATTGGGAGTGCCTTGGCATGACAAGAAGGGTGATGAATGTTTTTCCTTCGTCACCACCTTTATCGGTTTCCTCTGGGACATCCCTCGGAAGCGCGTCAGCTTGCCGGAGGGAAAAAGGAATAAATTTCATCAACGTGTTCTCCAGTTCCTTGTCAACTTCGATGGTCGACCTTGCCATCTGCGTGATGTTGAAAAGATCCATGGGTCTCTTTGTCACATTGCTTTTGTCTACCTCGATGGTCGCTCCCATCTGCCTTCTCTCTCTAACTTTGCCTCCACCTTCCATGGTGACGAATTCCTGACGAAATATCCTCCACATTCCCTGATCACTGACCTGAACTGGTGGCTGGTCAAGCTCACTTTGCCAGGGGTACACCGATCTCTTCACCCTCTCGGTCCTTTATCAGACCTTGGCTTGTATGTTGATGCTTCGACGTCATGGGGTATTGGTATCATCATCAGTGGTGAATGGGCTGCCTTCCAGCTATCGCCTTCTTGAAAGATTGTCGGTCGTGACATCTGCTGGCTTGAGACTGTCGCCATTGAGCTTCTAGCTCTTTTCCTTGAATCAAAGGGCCTTCATGACACTCATCTTCTTGTCCATTCCGATAATCAGGGCACTATTGGCACTCTTGACAAGGGCCGTAGTGGCAACATCTACCTTAACCTTGTGGTTCGCCGCACCCACCTTATCCTCATGGCAACGTCACTTGCCTTCAAAACTGTTTATATTGAATCTCAAGCTAATCCAGCTGATCCTATCTCGCGTGGGGAACCAGGACCAGCTGGGAAGCAAATTTTCCCATCATTTCAGCTCCCTGATGAGCTATCTTCCTGTTTTGTTCATGCCTAGGTTAGCTCTCCTTATTTGATGTGATGTCCTCATGACTATATTCTAACTTTATCCAGCTTAGATTATCCTTTTAAGCCGGCGACACGTGTCGTTGAGACGACTGTGGGTGGTTCAGTCTCTGTTCCTCCGCGCCCCACACATCATCACACTCTCTTCCCTTTCAAGTCTCATTCTACTGCATTCCCACCCACAGTCTCATCCACGCCTGTTCCTTCCACATTGTATACTGCTCTGCCCTTGCTAACTGCTCCTCCTCCCCTCCCAACTACTCTTCCTACTCAATCTACTTCGCTTACTCCTCTTGACCACCTCTCACCTCTATCATCTCGGTCTATCACACCCCGGAAACCTCATGCTGGGCGGCAGATCTCTCAGAGTGTTCTACGCCCTCATGTTGCTGCTGCCGATCGCCTATTTACCTGGGACACGCCTCACGCTGCTCGTCACCGACATCACCTGGCTACCTCCCTCCCAAGTTCCCATCTTGTTAACAGTGCTCTAATGTCAATCCGTGGTGCTTATGCACCTAACACAAAAACCACATATGCCGCTGGCACCCTCCGCTTCACCCAATTTTGTGACAGATGGAACATAGACGAAGAAGAGCAGATGCCTGCCTCTTACCCTCTCCTTTGCGCCTTTATTGGTGAGCATAAGGGTAGGCAGGCTGGGAACACCATACATTCTTGGCTCTCTGGCATTCTTGCATGGCATGTCATCAACCATGCCCCTTGGTTTGGTGATGATGAATGGGTTCAGCTGGCCTGGGTGTCTGCGAACAAAGAGGGTACAATGCACAAACACCCTCTCCATGCACCTGTGTCCATTGAACACCTGCTGGCGCTCCACCGTGTTCTCAATCTCTCCACTCCCTTTCATGCTGCAGTTTGGGCCCTTGCTCTCTGTACATTTTTTGGCTGTCAACGACTGGGTGAGCTATCTGTTACTACCACTGCTGCCTTTGATGGAAAATATCATGTTCTTCGCTCTGTCATGTGCACTACCTTCCTTCTCTCCTTTCTACTCTTCTTATATTTTGCAGGATCACCTTTCGTACATTGCGGGATGGTTCGTCCTCTGCAAACTTCCACATTCCTTGGACCAAGACAACCAAAGAACTTGGTGCCTCAGTGATCCTTACTGCGCAGAATGATATCCTTTGCCCAGTCACTGCTCTGAAGAACCATCTCTCTGTTAATTCATCCACAGATGAGTCAGCCCCCCTCTTCGCATATACAACTGCTTCCTCCCAATCAAAAATGCTTCTCAAACATGAATTTCTCAATTTCTGCATGGGTATCTGGTCATCTGCCATGCTTGCGCATGTTCTCGGGCATAGCTTTCGCATCGGGGGTGCTGTTGAACTTCTCCTTGCTGGTGTACCACCTGAAATTGTCGCTGCAACAGGTGGCTGGACCTCTCTCGCTTTTTTGCTCTATTGGCGTTGCATGGAAGAAATTCTTCCAATGAGCACATCAAAAGCATACAACAAGTCCCACATTGATTCGTTGGCTGCAACCTTCGAACAATTTCGTATTCATAACAAAATCCCTTCTGCACTTATTGTCACCTCTGATGGGAACCTCACCTTGTGATTTCTTTCATCTTCACCATCTACCTTGTACTTATATTTCATCCGTCCTTCTACCTTGCCATATTCATCTTTACAATCTACCTTGTACTTATATTTTGATCCACACATCCCTCCTACATCGCTACTGCTGTACTCATCAAAACTTGAAATGTATTTGTATTTCGAACAAGAAATTCTCCCAGAGTGCCGCTTGACTGGGTAGTTCCTCTGTGCTGAACCAACCTGCTTGTTGTGAGCTTACACTCTGGTTGGTATAGCTGGTTGCCTTGCACATCGAGCTTCCCAGATGCTCAGGTCTTGCTCATCTTTCAGATTTCACTATTATCATTACTATTTAAGATCTGATTTGAATGAGCCGGGCAAGCCCTAGGCACAGACAAGTTATCCGCACTCGCGGATTTCTTGTATTTAAATGTATCCTATATTTAAATACTCCTTCTTTCCCTGTATTTCATAAGACGCTACAGTTATCTCATTGACAGTTTGGCGGGCGTCTGTCACGCAAATGTCACGCGTTTAGAGCCATTTGCGAGCAAAATTTTGTATTCTGCCCTCCTGCCCAACAGCACTTCATCCTTCTCTCTAAAAATTTGTATTTGAGCTCTCACATATCATTTAAATGTAATTGGAAAGTTTTAGAATAAACAGTCTAGCCCATCTGGAGGGATCTGGAAGAACATTCCAATATTTTTGTTTAGCTGGTGTAATGAAAATCACAAATCCATGTCTTAAGAATGCAATTCTTTGAATATGTCTCTAAAAATTTAGAGGTACAGAGACAATATAGAGATACACTAGTATTCAAGATTTGAGAACCTCAGAGTAAGTGGTTGCAAAGATAATCCGGATTTTCAATATCTCGACGAGTTTCAATATCCTGAACAAACATAGTAAAGTGAAAGCTGAGTAAGTATATGCGCCTCATTCAGGGAGACGATGTAATGCGGTCAAATATAGACCTAGTATATCCAGTTACACAGTCGGTGCATGTCTCTAAGCGTCATTCGGAAATTCCAAATTGTCCCGGACATCTACATACCTCTATATACCTCCTGGATGACAACTGTTGGCTCCGTACTTATATGGCAACAAGGAAGAACCAAAACGGATGGAGTGCGGCCAGTGGCACACAACTCAGAGATTGAAATTTGACGCCCATCATCCACAGATAAGTGCACTAGTTCCTCATTGTTTGCCCACTTTTTCTCACATCCCCTCTTGCTTATAAGTTACAGTATGGTATCCACTACCAGTCCTGACTCACAGGACAATCAAGCTTTCCAAAATGCTCTTCAAAGTCATCGGGACAAATGGGAATCAGACTACGAATTTCTGGAGAGCGCGACCCCAGAGGAGTTGCATAGCGATATCAAACAACACGAGGATGACCACCGTAGGTCGAAGTTACGTGCCTACAGCTCCCATATATTGGGCTTTATCAACCAGTTCGAAATGTTCTTCGGCTTGGTTGATGTGTTGGTTTCCGTGAACCTGATTGCTGCGCTGGCTTGGGGCAGGATCAAGTTTATCATACGGGTACGCGAACTTCCAATGCTTATTTTATCAGAGAGTAAACTACTGAATGCTGTCGCTAAGCGGTCTCAAAACACTCGAAGTATTTCCAACGCATTATAAGTGTTCTTGGAAAAGTCAGCCAAAACCTTCATTTTTACGGCAGGTATGTGACTGCGATTTACAAGGGGAATGATCGGGTCATGACGGTGCACTGTTTGCTGTCATCATCACTACAATTGTTAAATTTGGGGCCAGGAACTTGCTAACGTCTATGGCGATATCCTTACCAAGGGGGTAGCGGAACGTGGATCCCGAACACTGGCTGGGAGGGGGGGAGTCCGGCCGAAGGCTGGGAAAAAAATAGTGACCTGAGGTATTTCTGTCACGAATTGAGCCGCACATGTATCTGACTTGCCCAGTCTACCACCTTCACCCGAGCGTAGTCATTCTGCATCGCCTCTCGAAGCTTGGTCCTTTTGTTATTCCACTCTGGCAACACTGCTCCCAACTCGGGCCTATCATTCAAAACATCATCTGCCTTCGCATACTCCTATTTATCACCTATAACACCATCAACAATGACAGACCATCCTTCCCTGTGCACCACTCTTCAACTGCCACCAGCCGGTCTTTGTCAAACTCTACACGGAATCTGGGTATGAGTTCTCCAACATCTGCAACAGTGAAGGGGGTGTAGGCGATCAGATTTTGCATGTAAATTACATCGTTGACAGTTTATAAAATTCCGCTTTCTCTCGCTTATGTTCCTCCATGCAAAAACTTGCATGCAGAGCATTTTAAATTTGAAAGTTTGTGAGTTCTGTGTTGATAGGTAGGCTGAGGCTGTAGCTACCGAGAAGCCGGGACCATAGGGCAAAAAAAAAATTCACTAAGACATTGGAACTCGGAAAACATACCTTATATAGTAGGAGGAGGAGGGGGGGAGGTCAACCAAATCCCCGAAAAAAAAATAGGGAGTGTTGGTACATTTTCCACGTTCCGCCACCCCCTTGATCCTGACTGTTTTTATGACGATAAAGAAAACTTTCATCAACCGTAGGAAGCGCATGCGAAGTAAGTTCTACTCCTGTCGCTTCGATATCAGTACCTGTCAATTCATTATCCTAGATTTCCCTACAATTGTTGTTTTGTCCCTTTGGTTCGAGGGCGACTTTGATGCTGTTGTTGCTGGTCTCGAAGAACGGCACATTATGCTCACAAATGAAGTTGAACATGCCGATCGAGAAGAACGTCTCACCACCAAGTGGAAGAAAGATATGGATCACCTCCTAGACCTTTTACACTTCAAGGACTCTAATTGTGGCGAGAAGCATACACAATCCCTCAATAGTGCAGCTTCAGACTCTGGTACCTGGCTTCTTGAGACTCCGCTATACAAGAATTGGCGAGATTCGTGGGGTGTCGACCCTACTTCGCTTTTCTGGCTCAATGGAGAACGTAAGTAGTGATTCAAAGTTTTCAACTTCTACATGCTTACCGTCAACAGCGGGTTCTGGAAAGACCGTTTTAACGTAAGATACTAGTCTGAATATGCGTTGATGTGTAATTCTGACGTATTCGCAGGTCCTTTGTGATTGAGGATCTCCAGCATGAGAAGAAAAACAAACGCGACGGCTCTAGATTGTTATCATTTTTCTGCGATTATACATCTCCAGAGAAAAGTAAAGCGAAATACCTCTTTGAATGTCTTTTGGGCTAGTTACTCTACTCATTTGAAGACTCTCCTTCACAAGCACCAGCTCCTGTCCATGACATTCTAGCCAAGTTTTCGAGGACTCGATCAGTGAATGAGATAGCCATCGATGATGTTTTAAGCGGGCTCGCAACTTGTTTAAGTTGCGAACACGTTACAATCGTTATTGACGCCCTGGATGAAAGTCAGGACACGGAAAATATCCTTCAGGGGCTCCGTGAGCTTCCATCATCCATCCACCTGTTTATATCCAGCAGGGATGAAGATGATATCAGGCACAGCTTTAAATCCCACTTTGCACTTCGAGAACGGAAGATCAGACCAGTTGACATCAGTCATGACATCAGGAAGTACCTTGGCAATACGTTAGTTAAACATCTTGAGAAGCGCCCGAGATTTTTACAGAATCGCGAGCTACGGGAGAAGATAATCGATGATCTCGTCAAAAATGCTGATGGAATGTAAGTTACAGTTCATGAAAATATGAGCGGTAATTGGCCTCATTTTTTTCGACTGATATGCAGGTTTCTTTGTATAGTCTTACAGATTAGGAGCATCTTGAAGTGCAACACAGATAAAGAGATCCTAGACGCACTCAAGGACTTACCAAAAGGGCTTCAACAAACTTTCATACGCTCCCTCAGACGAATCGACAAATGCCCTGACAAGATTCGCCTTCGACGAACTCTTTGTTTGCTGGTCTGTTTCGAACACATTCCACGTACATCCCTCATCCAATTAATCAACATCGCGGAGATGGGTGCTGATTGGGACCCATCTAAAACTATCAATGATCTTTCAAAATTGATATCCGACTGTGGTCACCTAATCAAAAAAACACGTTTTTGGGGATTGCCATCCTTTACACTTACACACTTGACTGTCAGAAAATTTCTCACCTCTGACCCGCATTCTTTCGGTCCCAGCATCGGGATTCTTCCCGAGTATCATTGCTACCCGCTCCGCGATGCATTTATGGAAACTGCACGAATTTTTTTCAAAAAACGTCAGATACGGGGTTGCCCATACCTTCACTTCTGGCATGACGAATGCCTATTGGTCAGTCGTTGGAGAAAGATTTCGGATCTTGAAAAAAGTACCTCTGATTTTCTGTCGACGGTGTTCAACGCACCATTGAACGAGAACCCACGACCTGGACCCTTACTTATGTTTCCGAATGCGACACATGTCACAGCGATAAACTGCCGCTTCATCATCGTTGAAGAAGAGTATTACATTTCAACCTCTTCACCACCAGCCAATTTCTCGACCTCGAGGGGCCCATACACCTGGGAGAAGGTCTTTCTGCGAATTGCCGGATGGACAGCCATAGAGTGTAGACATTCTTTCGCTCCATGTGGAATCCATGTGCAAGATGACCAACGAGTCACTACCGAGCCTGTGGGGCACCCCTCCCCAAGGAACGCAACCTACGTTACCGTAAAGGATATTGATTTCATCTTAGCAAAAGACAGCAACTGGACTATTTACCCAAGGGGGTCCAAGGATTAAAAAAAAGTAGCCGGGGTCGATTTTTTTTGTAAGGCTCTATGTGCTTGACCTACCTACCTATGTAATCAGGCACATGCCTATATATGGCAATATGACATCATCATTATGATCACTTTGATCCTCTATTAGGCTCTAAGGCATCGTATACCCAATTTCATGGGGCTATCTCCAATGCAACACATTGTAGGTAGTACTAAAAAATAAGTGAATGTAGTGATTGGCTTATAAAATACTGATACTCACCCTTGACTCACCCATTGAGTCTCACATCCAACCCTTTTACACTTTACCAAGCCATCACATTGTGAGTGCAAAACCACACCACACAGGCATCCGTTTAGAGCATCTGATGTGTTGAAAGCATCAAGTTGATTTCAGTATTTAAATCAGGTCACACAGCATACCCATCAGTGTCAATAACTGGTCTGTAACTGTTTTGTCAGTAAATTGTGATCAATCAAAACATTAGACAATAATTGATGAAGATTGAAAAACAATTTTGAAGCCAGAAATTGGGCTGAACATAATTCAATATAATATCCAGTCAAGATAAGTACAGTCATCCACCTGCTAATGATACACTGAAACTGAGAAATTGCATCCAACAATTTGAAGTACAACATTCAGCCATAAAAACTACATGAATATTTGAGATAAATTACATTCTATAACCGTACCAAATTTCAGAATGTTTGAACCACAGGTCAGGAAGAAAAGTCAAAATTATGGGTGTATCATTGGGTGGTGTGACTGTATTGCAGCAATTTCCAAAAACAGTCCGTTTTGAAAACTTCACAGCAGCACCAATACTGCTTCAATTGTTCCCAAATTTTGTACTATGGTAGATGTGAACTTGTAGTGCACGTTACAATTTATTTCACAAAGATTGATGTAGTATTGAGTGAGATATTAGTTGGTCAAAAGTGTATCAAATGATGGTGGCGTATCATTGGTGGGTGGATGACTGTACTGTACAATGATATTTTACATGCAGGAATACTGTAAATCACCCCAGAAAACCAATTTAGGACACTCACATAAAGGGTTCCAAATTGTTTTTTTTCGGCCTGCGGCCGACCTACCTACCCAACCCCTGGTCCAGAATTCAGATCCCGGAACCCCCTTGTATTTACCCCGGTGTCGAAACCATACCTGGGGTGACCAAAACTGGAGAATGGGACCAAAAGTTCTACAGCAATAGTACCCAGATGAATTGCACGTTTAACACTGTGGGAAGCGTTTGCACCCCATATGAGTGTTTCATTACACTTGATCCAAGTGCGTAAACACTTGGCTGAAGTGTCTGTCACACTCATCTGAAGTGATGCACTATTTTCAAAACACTCATTTACGGTGTTTCGTGCACTGATCAGCCCAAAATTGCACCATAGAATCACCGTCAAAACACTTGTATATAGTGCTGTCCTGGTTGCTCGTTACCACCTGCAAAATTTGGCACATAACCGTAAAACCATATATTTACAGCGTCACTATGGCTAATACATCTCTACCTACTTGATTATAGCCGTGTGGTGAGATTTCACTCACATGTTGAACCGTGAGCAATAGCGACCACCCACAAAGTCACTGAGAGAAAGCGTCCAGTACGTGCATTGATGCGCCGAGAAGACGCGCTTGTTCCGGGATAGAGGGGGGTGATGTGCGGCATCACAGAAGTGATCGATGTCAGCAGAGGGGGTTTGCCTGGTGTGAAAGGGAGCTTCGTTAACTTGCTACCGAACGCGGGAATTGTGTTTACGAACCAGAGGTAAGTCGATCTCGAGCCATGTTTTAAGTGTCGTGAGCGCAGGAGAGCTTGTCGAGAACATGGTCATTCAGCCATAGGAGACCAAGGCCATTGCGCGCACTAAAGTCAAACCAAGTGTGAAACCGGAAACGAAGAGGTATGTCAGTTTGTTGTTCAAAGCGCGTGAGCGACGTGAACATACCGATTTACGCTCTCAAAGTCCAGCCATGTCTCCACCACTCACGTTATGCATAAGGTCAGTGCCGATTTGAGTGAAGTTGACCTAAAAATGCGATATGTTACAAAAAACGGGAACCAATGTATGAAAGGGTGACTTACTTACGCCCGAGTCCGAAATCTACTGATACTCAATTCCTGAGAATACTATATGCTGGTTTATTGACGACGTACACTCGAGATAAAGTGCCAACACTCACATAACATGCATATACGGACTCTCAGCACACGCTGATCCTCAGTTTGTGAGTTTGTCGTACTTGAAACCCTTCAATGAATATAGGAACCTTGTGAGCGCGAGTTGAAAGCCAAAAGTAGAGAGAATATAAACTGACCTCGGTAGCTACCACTCCTGCACATCGTAAGACCCTTCGAAAGCGACGGAGATCCAGAACGATGCCGCAGTGGTCATAGGTGGATATGGTACGATGACAAGTTGGATTTCAAACTCCGACAAGCTCGATGAGAAATATAAACAAACAAACGCGTCGCGATGATTAGGAACGACATGGCATTCAACCAACCTTAGCCGCCTTGCCTTCCTGCTTGTATTAGAATACAGAGTATATGCTTTACCTATTCTTAGTTAAGGAACTGCTGATTTTCAATGGCAATATTTGGTGATGAGCGTTTTGTGTTCTCAGCTAAAGCACTTGATTCCAACTTGATTCTTCTCCAACGTTGACGGTCACTGGCGACTGATTTTATAGTCTGTTTGATGGATCCCTTAAAACGGCATGTTTTGAGACTCTCCACCAAGAAAATTTCCTTTTTCACGGGCCTGCTATCATCAGCCGTTCAAGCTTTTATCACCAGATGATGTCCAGAGCACAAAAAGGTCCCCAAGGGACAAGGGGGTGTCGGGATCATAATCCCGGACCGGGGGCCGGTTGGTTGGTTGGGCCATCAGGCCGTTAAAAAAAAATTGGAAGCTCAAAAATTTTGGCCCAAAACAATTATAGGCGGCCTTCCTGGTGGATAAATAGATACTAGAAAGCCTCAAGATGTGCTAAATGCCTGAGGATGCACCAAAAAACACCACTGAGACTGCTTACATAAGACAATAATAACATCGGACCATTAACAACTTTCGTTAGTGTGGCAACCGTTACAGCGAGGAAACATGTGAAAAATAAAAATGTAAGGTTGTCGATTGGAGGATTGCTTTTGTGGATCCCGAGCAGAGCTGACCACTGCCAATGTGATCCAGTGGGATGTGAAACTGTGTGGTCAACTAAACCCACTTTCTGTTAGGGTTGAACGTTGAGAGGCACGAGGACAGGAAGACAGTGGTGATGTCATATTTCCTAAAATAGACACGTGCCTGATTACGTTGGGTGGTTGGTTCAGCCCAGCTCTCACTACCAAAAAAATCGACCCTAGGTCTTTTTTTTATATCCCGACACCCCCTTGCCAAGGGAGCGATAAAGGCTCTATTGTATTTAATTTAGGGGCCATTGTGTAGGTGGGTGTCTTGCATAGGAGCTAAGATCGAGATAGATGAAAGCACTCAAATGAATCGTCGTAATGGCGGGTTCCAAGGGTAAGGAGGCATTTCGTAGGCCTCTGCGCCAACTCAAAACTCCGCCAGGAAAAGGACCAGCTCTGCTGAGCCTTTTCCCCCTTGAGCCCCGCTCGTCAATCATGGTTGTGACATCGATCCCTGACTCAGTGCCAAAGTTTGGCAGATGCTGGGTTAGGAGAAGTTATCGGTGTTGCTTCCCTCTCCTGTGCTGGCACTCTCTCTCTCAGACCACGTCTATCCAGCACAGGTAAGCGCTCCGCGCTCTCTCTCTCTATGCACCGCATACTCATCCAAGTGAACAGTGATCCTCGCTTCTAGGCTTTGCCTATCGTTTTCTATAAACGCACTCTCATCACTCTTCATTTGGTGAGGCCTTTCTTCATATTGAGCTTTGTGCACATTCTTACATCCTGCTGGCTCAGACTTTGTCTGCTAGACTCGGATTGTAAGAAGCATCGTAAAACCTCGCTCAGCTCAATACTCATGTATCGTTCCTCCTGCAGAATCTCTTCAGATTTTCTCTGGCCCTCCCTCCACTCCCTCTTCTCTTTTTATCTTTTTTTTATCTCTTTTTTCTCATAAATGACTTTATTCTAATGTACTTGTATCCACATTTGTACGTGCAGTGTAGTGTAGCTCACACTCCCAGCCTAAAAAATTTTGGGGCTCGCCTCGCTTTGGCGACCCCTTGTTGCTGCTATCACCACCTCGTGATCTCTCCACCTTTGAACAGCGCAGCAGAGGGTGTTCAACAGTGCACACTTCGTTCAAGTGTCGAGAAAAGCACCCAAATACGGACACCACACGTGAGTGCCAAAATGTCGAAATCAGTGACTAAGCACCACATATGGGTGCAAACACTCCCCACAGTGACGTTTGATTCGTACAATTCGGATTACTTTATTTCTTTCGGAACACCCCATTGGAATGAGATCTCTTCCGAAATAACTCCCCTCGATGAACTTGGGTTAGAGTAAAAGGTGTTCGACATGACCAGTCTCTGGTGTTCCCACAGCGGTTGTACTTGCTCGAGATCAATTTCGTAGTAGCCTATAGAACCATATCATGTTTTGAATACGAGCGCGCGACGGAATGGTCTACATATGATTATGCAGTTATGTAACTGGAACGGATTTGGGAAGCTTCAAGACGAGCAACGAAAAACCAGAAACATAAGACAGAAGCACACCGAGCACGAGGAGCAGGTCGTAACCAGGTTTGAGTGAAACTGCATAATGCAACATCGAGGACCACATAACATAACACATACGAACATGACGACACATTTGTGCATCTTTTGCATAAACATAAGCTGCAAATACGCAGATACTCCAGACTCCCAAACCGCTCAAAAGGTTCCAAGGGACCCCGCTCCAAACATCTCCCGTGAAACGCTCAGAGCTTCCCAAGCGAAGCAGCAGTCGTACTCTGCCCAGCAGCCTTGGCGCGCTTCCTAAGCATCTGGGTAGACTTATTGCCACGAAGTCCACCACCCCACACACGGCGCTGCTCCTCATACTTGTCAGAGCTACCCACCAAACCCCATCAGCATCCCTACAATCACAAAACAACAACAACAAAAAACTCACAAGTTAGCCTTGGCAGCGCTAACAAGCGTAGCGAGCTCCCTCTGATCCTCACTCTTCACTTCCTGAAGAGCGACAACGGCAGCCGTCTTTTTGTGAACGACGGTTCCGAGGCGTGCTTTACCCTTCACGATAACGTAGGGGACGCCCATCTTGCGGCATAGGGCGGGGAGGAAGACGACGAGCTCGATGGGGTCGACGTCATGTGCGATGACAACGAGGGCGGCTTTCTTGGCTTCGATGAGGGCGACGATGTGGTTGAGGCCGTATTTGACGAAGAGGGGTTTCTTGGAGTCCTGCTCATATTAATGTCAGAGGTTGGGTAGCGAATGAAAGGGAGGGAATGAATGGACCTTGGCATCCTTCTCCTTCTCCTCGGCAGCAAACGCAGCAGCAGCAGTTAAACGAGCCTTCTTCTCCTGCTTCGATTCGGGGCGGTACTTGTTCAACAGCTTGAACAATTGGGTAGCGGTGTTCTTATCCAGTGTGTGAGAGAACTGGGCAATGGCGGGTGGGACCTTGAGACGTTGGTGCAGAATGACTTTTTGCCTTTGGAGGCGGACGTATTCGGGCCATTTGACGAAACACGTGAGGTCAGTTTGGGGTCGGATGTCCTGGCCTGTGTGTGGTCCAAGCTGAGTTTCAGAATACCAAGAGAGAGAGACGACGGGACGACAACGCACCGATACCAAAGTTCTTGGCATTAGCCTCGAACAAAGGGTTCTTCTTCGCCTTGGTGGTCTTCCTCGCACCAAAAGGGGCCGCGGCGGGTTTCTTGCCAGTTCCGGATTTGGCTTTGGGCTGGTCATTGAGACGAAGTGAGCGATGTTCTTCAGAAAAGAAGACCATCGCGCTTCGGAGCTCTAATGTCGTGCGTATTCGTAGGAGTACGCATGACCCAGCAAAAGTAAAGTAGTAGGCTTCATAGCACAATGGCTCAGCCGAGAACAAGTCTCAATTACTTTCGATGCAGTTCTATTAGAGATGTTTGTTAAGGGCACAAAAACGCCATCCACTCCAAAAACTCACCATCCATCCCAAGTTCTCACTCATCCAACACAAAACATGCGATGGAGAACTACTGCTGGTCGAACTCCTCCGCGCGAGAGGGTCTCACGTACCATTTTGCTCTTGTGTTTCTTGAGGAGGGCGAAAAGTGGTGTCTTGTGGATGGGAGGAGGGAGAAATTTGTTTGGATTTGAACTCCGGTCGGTGATAGCCGAAGATATTGTTGGCCTGCTCAGTTACGGAGTTCGATTGGTCTCGCAGCCGAAAGCGCTTATGTAGGTATGACACTGTAAATTAAGACACTCTTCCAACCATCTTTGTTGATATATCGGTCATTATACGCGTCTGTCATGGCAGACCCATGGCTAGGGAATTACGCGCGAAAGCTGGGTTCGACTCCCAGACAGAGAGTTGACGTTTGCTTGACGTTGCAGATTTTTTTTTTCATGTACCAATTTGTGGCATGTGCGTTCATGTTCGTTTTCAAATAATTACGTTCAGCGTTCGATCTGCATCTTGATTCCCCAACGCGCGCACCTAGGTGTGATGCTGATCAAATTCTGGGGTTTTTTCTTTGTAAAGAGTACCCTGCGGACGTACATTAGCAGCAGTACACTATCTGGAACTGCATTTCATAAAAATGCAGGAGTATGTGACATATCCAAGGTATCCGTAAGTGTTTTGGAAACAGGACGCTGGACAATGCCTTGATTCTTTTTTACAAAAGTTCTGCCATAGGCCTAGCACCTCTAAAAGTTCCCCATCACATATTCAACCTCACCAAGAACCCGAGGATCGTCGTCCCATCTGTGAGATACGACAGCACCACATTGGTGACCCTAATCTACTTCTCTAAAGTTCTTTGTTAGTATATCAGTCAGTACACACGCCTGTCATGGTTTCGCGGATCGTATGTATGCTCGCGCGAAAGCTGGGTTCAACTCCCAGACAGAGAGTTCGAAGGTTTTCTTTCTTTTTGCCAAGTCACGTGTACCCAGAACATGATGGCTAAGTTCTAACCTGCCTCCAGACCTGCTCCACTTGAGATAAACAATTAAATTTGGAAGAATCAACCTGGTAAGTGCGTCGACTGTGCATTTGGGTTCATTTTTAAATAACCTTCAACCTGCATCTTGATCCCCCAATGCGCGTGCTTGGGTAGGTGTGTTTCTGATCAAATTTTGGGGTTTCTTTTTTTGTACAGAGTACCCTGTGAACGTACATTAGCAGCAGTGAGCTGGGAGTATGAGACATATCCAAAGTATCTGCAAGTTTCTTCTTTGAAGTTTTGGAAACAAGAAGTTCGACAAATGCCCTGATTCTTTTTTTCAAAAGTTCCGCCTTAAGCCTAGCACCTCTAAAAGTTCCCCATCACATATTCGACCTCACCGAGAACCCGAGGATCATCGCCATCTGTGAGATACCAAGCGCGATGTCAGTGACCCTAATCTATCTTTGTGAAATTCTTTGTTAGTATAAGTATCTCTTTGTTTAGACTCGGACCTGGTAGATTTGAACTGTAATCGAGTACAGTGCAGAAAGTTCCCACGATTTAATGGGACTTAGACAGATTTTCGAATTCATGCTCACCACTTACACTTTCGAACACTTTGCTGACGTCCTCCAATACAACATTTTTCATGCTCAAACCTGCTACATCTTAAATTAATATGCCTGAGAAGTGACCAGCCTCTCAAGACGACCCACTTGCCAACTCAGATTCTGACACAGAGACTGCAGGTCCAAGCACCCAAGCATTGCCATCCACACCCAGACGTCGCAGACAATCCGCTCCCCCAGCATCATCACCAATCAGCGTGATGAACCCCACACCTGTCAGACGAGGCCATCCAACGAAGAAGGCATGCAAGTCTGGCCCAGCAACTGAGCCAAGACTGAGTGCCGCTGATCTGGAACAGCAGCAACAACTATGCCAGGAGCAGCAGGAGCAACGGAAGCGCGAGATGGAGGCAGAGAAACAGCACATGTGTGAGCAGGCCCGTCAACTTAGAGAAGAGACAAAAGAGCAGGAGAAGACTAGTGCTTGAAGGTCCGGTTAATTAACCAGAAAATAACCGAGACCAGACCGGACCTAACCGCAAAAAGACCAGACCATGGTTAGTGGTTAGTCAATTCTGGAAATGAAATAACCGGTTATTTTGCGGTTAACTAACCATTAAAAAACCAGTTATGACCGGTTAAAATCGACCCTATTTTACCCCTTCAAAACGCATCTAAAAGCATGAGAAACGATAAAAATCTGACAGAGTTATGGTCAAATCTCTAAAATATTGGCCAAAAGAGTATGCTTTCAAGAATATTGTCATAAAATTGTCAATTCTTCACCGAATTTAGCGTTCTTGGGCTTATTTTAAAGCTACGATACATGGCAATAATATTTACTGCAAGAAATATGAAAAATATATGCTGTTTTAATCGATTTTCTATTTTTTCGGTCCTAACTGGTTAGTAACTGCGACTAACCGGTTTTGGTTGGTTATCTTTGGTCCAGTTAGGTTATTTTGGGTCTGGGAACGAACCCTAACCGGTCTCGGTCTCGGTTAGAGCCCCTGGGCACCCAATAACCTAACCTAACCGGACTTTTAAACACTAGAGAAGACGCAAAACACAAAGGCACTCCTTGATGTCATGAAGAAGGACACCACAGAGGGAGGCTATGGATTCAAGTCGTTCAATGAATTTATGACCACTCTTATGGATTCCAAGGACCAGCAACTCTCTGCCTCAATGTCCCGCTTCTCTAACCAGTACGGCGGTGCTCTCATCGAAGCTCTGGCTTGACGTGCCCCAGAAATAGCAGTGGATGCTGCGGTTGACACTTTGACCAAGACTAGTGCTTGAAAGTCCAGTCCAGTCCAGTTTTTTGACCCAAAACAAAAAGACCGAGACCTAGACCGGTCCACACAATTCCTAAAACCTCAAAAGACCGGACCAGGACCAGAAAAGAGCAAGACTGCGGTCTTTTTCGGTCTTTGGTCCAGTCTTGGTCCAAACTGGTTACAACCAGTTCAAGACCGGCTTTTCAGCTAAATATGCCATAAATTTTGCAATTGTGAGTCAATAATTTTATAAACATTCTTCATAGCTTCTAAACGAGTACAAGAACGTTAAATTACGTTGAGAATTGATGTATATACAAAAATACTAAGGTACATCTGCTATTTTCACGAAATACTTTACAGTTTTTTATGTATCTTTGTCAGTTTTTATCCTAAAAATATGATCTTAGGTGCGTTTTGAAGGGTTTTTATGTAGGTACAAAAGACCGGTCTTAACCGACAAGACTGGTCCATGTAAACCGGTTTTTTTGTGGTCTTGTGATCTCAAATCTGAAAGACCAAGACTGCAGGTCCGGTCTTTTGCAGTCTTGGTCCGGTCCAGTTGCATCTTTTTGCAGTCTTGGGACTGGACTTCGAAGCACTAACCGAGACACTACAGAAGGAAGGTAAAGCAGTGAAGGAGATCTTTTCTAGGGGGTTCTACACATCAGTCTCAGAGCTTTTGAAAACATTCTCAATGGAAGCTCTCTCACAGCAGTTGCAGGAGGCTGCACCAACCATCTGGAAGCTTCTAACAGAGATGTCTCTGCCTCTCTACAAGTGGCAGAAGGAAAACCAGAGAGACGAAAACCTGGTATGTAGTGTGCATTATCAGACTCTCAGTGCAGATCTAATTTGCAACATAGATCTTTACAACAATGTGTGCTATGATGGGAATACTTCAATCTACGAGGGCAACAGACTTCCACATCACACTCAGACTATTCTTACTTGGTTCGGGTGCATCAAAGCGTGAAATTGAAGTGCTTGCACATGCTGGCATATGTATCTCTTACAGTGCTATCCTCAAACACGTTCGGAGGCTTTCTGAAGAGGGGACTCAGAAATTCAGAGAAGCAATTGGAGAAAGTGCTTGCATGATTGTATGGGACAACCTCAACATCGCATTCCACGTGGGTGAGCAATGACTTCAATCCAAGGACCACTTCGACAATGGTACAACATCGACTCTTATCCCTCTCTATGACAAGGGGGCCCAGGGATTTCAGAAATGACATGGGGTAGATTTTTTTTTATAAGCCGTCTGTGACGTCCCCCCCCATCGCTCCTTCTAAAAAAGGTATGTTTTCGCCCAAAAATGGTATGTTTTTCCCACTGCTCTTTTGAAGAAACTTCCAGCTGCACTCCTGGTGGGCCATGAACCACTGCTCCCTTTTCTGGTACAAGAATTCATCCCCTGGTGCTAGTGTTCGCAGGTCCAGTCTACAGGACTGAAAATATACATAGGACTGAACTGGACTGAACCACAGTCCAGTCTTTTCCAGTTGCCAGTTGCCCACATTTGTGGTCAGTCCAGTTGCCAGTTGCCATGTTTTTGTAAATATTTAAAAACCGAAAAAGACCGGTTTAGACCGGTTGCTACCGGTCTTTCATCCCATCACATGTTGGACCTTACTCACACACATTTTTATTCAATTTTCGGTCCCTCAATCATCAAAAACAGTCAAGAATTGGTTGAGATATGGCCAAAAACATTTTTATACGCAAGTTGAATGTATATCCTTTCCGTTTTTGCCATAACTCAGTCAAATCTTGACCGAATTGCTTCAAATCTTGGCCAGCTTACGGAGAGTTAAATTATCTATCTACGCATGCTATATACGTGAGGTAACATTTAATATATCCGGGACAATAAAATTTTCAACAAAAGACCGGTTGCAACCGGTCTGGACCGGTTTTTTTTTGCGTTGTGGACCGATTAGGACCGGTCCAAAGCGGTCCGGTTGCGGTCCCTCAATATTTGGATCGGTCTAGACCGGTCGCGGTTGCCAGTTGCGTCGTTTTGAGGTAAAAAACTGGACTTAACTGGACCTGTGAACACTACCTGGTGCAGCTTTTTCACATTTGCTTTTGCCATGCAAGTCCGAGCTGAGCAAGAAAGGTGGGAGGGATGACCAAGGGATGACAGATTTTTCATTTCCCTAACACACTGACTTCCATTGTAAGTTATTACATGTAACCGTTCAACTGCATTGGAGGTGCTGCTGATGCATCTAGCGTTGCTACAGGGCCCCAAATATAGATTTTCGAAGCTTATATACTAAATTTTTTTAAGGCCTGCCAGAGGTCCCCCCCCCACCTACCTTGGGTCATGGGTCAACATCCCAGGGCCCCCTTGCTCTATGATCCCAATACAAATGGTCCCGTTCCCCATGGTACACTTCCCTTTGACTTGAAACCAGAACATACAACACACCGCCAAGTCTTTGAATTTCCAGTCTCCCATGTTCTGCCATCCCCTGAAGCAGCTGAACAATTGAGCTCATCGTGTTCAGTGAAATTTGGCTAAGTCCCCGTAAATCGTGGGAATTTTCTGCACTGTACAAGATCACACATCAAATCTTCCAAGTCCCTACAGTAATCTATTGAACGACTGTCTTCAATTTACAAAAAGGGACTTGGCTCAAGTCTACTCTTTGTTAGTATATCGGTTAGTACATGCACCTGTCAGGTTCGACTCCCAGACAGAGAGTTATCGCTATTAATGGCTTTTTTTTTTTTTTTTTTTTTTTGGTGGAGCTTCATCGCATACAACAATTAACAGAGTTAGCCTTGTAGTATACACCAGCATGTAGGACAGGGAATTTTACCCTGTTGGAAGGTATTAATGTGGACCACCCTGAGGAAATGCTGTTGTGCACACTCACTCTGGAGCAGTGTGGGACTCAGAGCAGCAATAGCCGAGACTATCAGTTACGCCCAGGAGGATGCATTGCTCTCATACCCACTAAAACCCTGGCTTCCGAAACCCAATCTTCTTGTTTTGCCGGTTGATGATGCTATATATGGTGGGTACCTGACTCAGGACTGTTTGCTCCACATACTTCAAATAAGAACATGCACCTTCAAAAGTTCCTATATTATAACCGCCCTGTCATGAACCCAGACGTCGTCCGACATCAACCACATCAGTGATCATCGTGATAATAAGTTCTCTGTTAAGATATCGGTCAATACACCCAGCTCTCCTTCATAGATTTGATGGTGTGAAGGCTGGGTTCGACTTGGGTTCGACTCCCAAACAGAGAGTGAGCTTAGCTAAATACTTACTGTGTGGTTTTTGCCAACTGGCGTGAAAAAACACAAACACTACCTCAGGCTGCCTTCAAACCTGCTATACCTCAGATAAATAATCAAAATTGAAAGGGTCAACCTAGCAAGTGTGTTGAAAGCGCCACATTTGGATAGGATACTAAGGATTTGTTTGATTTTGGATTCCGATCGGGAATTGCAGCACTGTTGTTGCGGTACTGGTTCACTTCAATGGTGCTACTTACTCTCCTGAATCGTATCTAGCATATCATAAGTTTTCTTAGCCCTGCACCTGAAAGCGCTTATGTATGGCCCTTCAAATTAAGATCCTCTTTCAACCATCTCTGTTGATATATAGATTAGGATATGCCTCTGTGATGACGTCTTCGTAGCCATTACGCGCGAAAGCTGGCCAGACAGAGAGATGTTGCCTCTCAGTTTCATACATAGTATCATTGTTCCATGTTAAGCACGATAGCGAACACCATAACATATGCTCCTAGGAGTCCCACTGTCCCAAAAACATAATCGGATGTTGAAAGCGCCACATCAGTGATCCTAATCTACTTTATTTATAGTTCTCTGTTAGTATACTGTCATGTGACCATTACCAGGTCACTTTAGCTTAAATTGCAGATTGCACACCTCCCTCTCATTGGGAGCACATAAAATTTTGTGAGTGAGTAGGAGGAAACATATACATATTGTATCTGTAAGTTTTATTCTGAAGGGATGCTTTTGGGTAGTGTTAAAATGCCTTGACCCGTTTGCCCTGAATTGGTCAGCACCCATAAGCCAACTGTAAAATATTCTTAGACACCTCATATTCTCCTTATCTGATTCAAAATTTTGTGTGCAAGTTACCAATACCTCCACTGTAAACCCTCAAAGATATTTGTGTCAATAGAGGCTAGCACTGTGGAGAGAAATGGTTGTCAATTAGATAGACTTGCTTTGATGGGCAAACTTGGCAAAACAACAATGTGACCATCTTATCTCCCTTATATCTCAGCTCATGCTCAATGTTCTGTCCAATAAATCTCCACACACAGCCGCATGTACATTGTCAAACTCTTTTCAAAATTTCAAATGCATAGCACAGATCGTTGTGGTGCTATAACTTGTTGACCCGTTAGTCTCAGTAAAAATGGTTGGTCGGGTGTTGGTCATATAGTAGTCACGCCAGTGCACGAAAATGTAAGACATGACTAAAAGCAGTAAATTTTACAAAATTTTGACTTCAAGTCGACTTCACAAAGTTGTGTGAAGTTGTGTGGTGATGCCAAATATATGCATGATACAGTCATGTAGTAGTCTTTACTTAGTCTAGTTGCCCTCATCTGAGGGTCAATGGTTAGTCATGTAGTCATGACTTCGTAGTCCTTTTGTAGTCAAACAAAGTCAGACAAGCGTTATGCTATAGTTGTGTAGTAGTCTTGTTCCAGTCATGCCACTTCAGTCACCCATTTTAGGGTACCCCCGAGGTATATGAATTCTTTGATTTAAGGGTACCTCAAGGGTACCCATTCCAGAGTGGTATGTGAGCACCATACCAATACCATGGTACCATGGAATGGAAAACTCATACCATATCCCACTCATACCAATACCAAGTTACCATACCATACCATGTCATGTTATACCATACCAGATGGTATGATACCATCATACCAAAGCTGTCACAGGGTGTCTGGGGTCCTTTTCCAAAATAAATAAATAAATTCTGCAGGCTGCAATACTGGTCCATTGGGTACCATTTTTTGTGGGGTGGTTCTCCATGTTTTTCTTGAGATATTGAACTACAAATTGAGGCTAGATAGTCCAAACCATCTATTGAAAATGAATTTAAATAGGCTTTATCCCAGCTTTTCTCATGCATCCAAAGCCATTTAATGATACATGTCTTTCCCAGTCCTTTCTATTTGCACAATATTCATCCAAATCAAACAATACCACATCTATTGGGATGAAGTGGTCATTGAGAAGCAAAGAAAAGTGGAAAGGTTCTTCAGGTTT